TACGAAAGCTTAAGAAAAATCTCTTTATCAATATCTATGCATGAAAATGCTCTTTTCTTTTAATAATTCCTCTAAATGGTAATGATATAATTAAATTAAGGATACATTAATTATAATTTTTTATTTTTAAATTTTATAAAAAAGTATAAATATTAACTTTATTTTTATTACTAATATTGCGTATATATTTTTAATTAAACAATTACTAAAAATAAAGTTATTTTTTATTTTTTAATACAAATTAATTACAAAAAGCACAATAAATGTATCTTTAATTTGTGCCTAAGTGCATGAGTTAAAAATTCTCTTCTTTTAAAATTTATTTAGTTTTAAATTTTATTTTAAATTTCTAGACTAAAATAAATTTTAGCATTGAAATTAATATTAGTCAATGAATCTAATTGGTAGTCTACTGCCCCTTTGAAAAAATATTAATATAGTGATAATCTACGTTGCGATCAAACCAAATTTCTCTAAAATGTTTTTAAAATTTATTTGATCATTTCGCCTGCTAATACAATTTGTTGTAAAATATATATTTCTTATTGTTATTAATTAATTTTATACTTATATCTTTACAAAATAGGGAGACAAGGACTACCTATAACAGATATGTATGTGTAAAGCTACTAGAGAAAATATCTAGCAATATATATGAATATTGATTAATAAGAGCAAATTCTAATAAAAAGTGTTAGCCTCATCTTTAAAAATTAGAAAACCTTTAATATATAATATAGCAAACTTTTATTCTTAACTCAACCTAAAATATAAAACACTCAATCCTTAAAGCCAAATACAATTTAGTTAATTTTTATTTTTACCACAATTTAATGAGTCCAGGGTTATTGTAAAGACTGACTAAAGAGTAAAGATTAGAAAAGAATAAAGGGCCCAAATAAAAGCATTTCAAATTAAAGACAAAAGCTGGGGTCGAAGAATATACATGAATTAGTTGGTCTTCTCATTTACTCCTCTTTACACTTAAGAGCAAATGTGCTATATTATTTTAACATTTTTATTTTAATTTTATAGATGCTATTTAAAATTATTAAGAGATTTAATTAGTAACACACTTTAATACAACTCTAACCAAACTTAGTACATCATCTTTCATAATAAAATTAATATCTAACATTATTTTTATTCTTATACACCATATTGCTATAACATTTTACAAGCTCAACAACAGTATTAATTAGGCTTCGCAACGCAAGGCGAGGTACCTTTTACTTCTGAAAATAATAACATTAATAACACAACAACATAGGAGTGAAAGATAAAGCGAATAGAGCATATATAGGAGAAGGGTTGGTTGTCATCGTATGACTCATTCACCGTAAGCATTTAAGTTTTAGCCAACCTATGATGTGGAACAGCAAATAGGGGTCTTGCTTTCTCCAAAACTACGCCCAACTTTTCCGTGGTATCGGGTTCACTCCCTTCAACTAGTTTCCACTCGAATGAATGCAGTAACGAAGCCAAAACATACATGAGCATCCGCTCGCCTAAAACAATCCCTGCACAGATCCTACGACCTGACCCAAACGGAAGGTACTCAAAGTTGTTCCCGGTGAAATCCAGCTTCTTACCAATTGCATCATTCAATATGAACCTTTCCGGTCGGAATTCTGACGGATTGTCCCAATACTGAGGGTCTCTGTGCATCGCCCAGACATTCAAGAAAACTTTGGTGCCTTTGGGTACGGTGTAACCGCCGATAGTGCAAGAACGGGTGGGGCAGCGAGGTAGCAACAGTGGCGCTGCTGGATGAAGTCTTAGGGCCTCCTTGGCGATTGCGTGTAGATATGGCAATCTTTGGACATGAGACTCTTCGACAACGCTGTTAAATCCCACCACTTCACCTAATTCTTCTTGTGCCTTTTGCATTACTTCAGGATGTAGCATCAGCTCTGCCATGGTCCATTCGACCATTGTTGATGTTGTATCTGTTCCGCCTACCACAATGTCCTGTTTTAAAATATCAATTTACCTTGTTTTAAAAATGCAAAAAAAAAAAAAAACAAAAAAAAGGATTATTATGAGGTATTACCATAAACATGGCCTTGATTTCTGCTACAGAAATGGATTTTCCAGTGTCTTCATCCCTATACTTCAAGAGGAACTGCAAAAAATCCTTCCTTGCAGATTGTTTTGGTCCCTCCCTTGCTTTCTCTATAACCAAATCGTATATGTTATCCATTTTTTGGCGGACTTTCTTTACTTTCCTTTCAATTCCTTGCAAGTCAAGTTTGGCAATCACAGGGAAAAAATCTGAGATATTCGGTTTTCCCATTATATCAACCAGCTGCGATGCCACAGTGCGAAATTCCACTGCAAGACTAGTCCCTTTCTCTTCCTCCAGAGTACCGCCCCAAAACATGCTCGATATCATGTCGATCACTGTTACAAATGCCAATTCTCCGACGTTAATAGCCATACCCTCACAACTCTTTCTGTACAGTTCCCCCAACGTTTTATGCATGACATTTCTTCGTAGCACATAATAGGCATCAAGATTTGCATTACTGAGCATCTCTCGCACAAAAATCTTACGCAGAAATTGCCATTTGGGACCATACGGTGAAAATGCAATATCGTTTCCACCATAGGAGAAAGCCAGCGCCGCTCTGTTCGGGTTGCGATTCGCAAACGTGGTGTCATGTTCGCGCACAACTTCCTTTGCCAAGGATGGGGAGTTTATTATGACACAGAGTCTATTTCCAAGTGATAACTTGTAGATTGGACCATAAACTCCGGCCAATTTCATGAACAGATGGTGGAGGTTTTGGCCAAGAAACGGAAGGTAGCCGACCAAAGGCAAGCCGCGGGGGCCAGGTGGCAACTTGGCATGCCCTTTGATAACCTTCTTCAGTACCCATATAAAAGAAAACACTAGAATGAGAGTAAGGCAGCAATTTATGTTCAGCATTTTGTTTCTATCAAAAAAAATTAAAAGGAAAAAAAAAAAGATGAGTTGTGAGTACCGACAATTTTGAGCATCACAATCCCATGCAAACGGAAACGATAAAAAAATTAAGATAATAATTTAAAATGTTCGATTTGTATACTTCTCAACAATTCTATATCCACGAGAAAGAGAAAAATAAATTTATTATTAAAAAAATACAATAATTTAATAACTTTCTCATTCACAAAATTCTCAACACCCTAATTTTAATATATAAAAGCTTCCAAATTCTTCCTAATACTCTCTCATAAAGATTTTCTCACAATTTCTCTCTTTCTTTTCTCTTACAAGAGTACCCACTCACTTAGCTTTTCTCTTGCTTGCTCTCACTCTTGCTTACTCATTGCCTTTACATGCATGGATATTTATAGTGAAAAATTCTAACAACCTTGGCAAGTTTTCTTTGTTTGATCACCACCCATTTATGATTTTCTTTACTCAACAAATGACAACCTACAATTAGTTAAGTTGGTAAAGAAATTTTATCACAAAAAAAATCTACGTGTTCACATAGGATTGGACTTTCTACCAAAGCATGGGTGCATGTTCACATACGTGACTTGTGTTTGCATGGCACTTAAATATATACTTGCTTGTTGCATGCATCTCCCCCTTAAAATCGTCCATATGATGTACCAAATTTTATATACTCCCTCTAATTAAATTTAATTGTCTTAGTATAATTTTTATATGAATTTTAATTAAATAATTTTATATAATAAATAAATAATAATTAAATTTCTTTATACATAATATTTTTTAATATTTTAATTTAAATAAAAAATTTTAATTATTATTTATTTATTATATAAAATTATCAAAATAAATTTTATATAAAAATTAAATTAAGACCATTAAATTTAATTTAAAATAATAATCTATAAAGTTCTTCACCCGCGCAATGCTTATTAATCATGTCTACGTTTCTGATATCAAAACGTGTGATACACGTGCTTGTCCACGTTTCTGATATCAAAACGTGTGATACACGTGCTTGTCCAAAAAAAAAAATTTTGGGGACAAATCGAAACCTCAGTCAAGATTGATAGGCTCACAGGCTAGCCAAGTCAAACATTTATCAATTGAAAATTCAATGAAAGAAAAAAAATAAAACAAAAAATTATAAATTGACAAAATTTTTAGAGGATAAATCGAAACCTTAATCAAGATCGATAAACTAGCATGAACAACATGTCTCAATTGAAAAGTCAATGGAAGAAAAAAATATATAATAAAGAAAATTATATTAAATAAAATATTTTGTTTTTAACAATAAACTGAATGATTGATGGCATAATATAAGTTCCATCAACAACACGTGAACATATACTATCGAGTATTGTGTTGATAAATAAATGGCGAACATAAAACAAGAAAGCAAAATAATATTAATGAACGAAAGCTTTGTGAGAAATAATAATGATATGGTAATTAAATAATTTTTTATGTAATTAATCTTTACTCTCTTTTTTTCTATCTTTTTAGTATATTATCTTTATTTTCCCTGTTTTTATCATCATCAGTAAAGGCAGTCTACAATGATTAAAAGTATAAAAATGTTAATTATATAATAATACATCTTATTATAAATTTATAGAACGATATATTATTATATAATTAATATTTTTTTATTAAAAAATCTACTTATAACATTATATTCATTCGCTCATTTAATATCATGTTATATTTTATTTAAGGTTAAAAGTCAATTTTAGTCCCTCAATTTTAAGATTTTGCATAATTTTCATCTCTTAACTTTTTATGCACTTTTTTAGTTCTTTGACTATGAAAAATATATTTTTTAGTTTTTTTATCAATTAATCTATTAAATTTATCTAAATATGTACATTTTTAATCCTTCAACTTTAAATTGAGGAACGAAAAATATACATATATTAGAAGTTGATAGACTAAAAATACATAGATTCATATAGATTTAATGGATTAATTAACGGAAAAACTAAAAAAATGTATTTTTCATAGTCAATGGAAAAAAAAAGTGCATAAAAAAAGTTGAGGGATTAAAATTATGTAAAACTTTAAAGTTGAGGGCCCAAAATTGACATTTAACTTTTATTCAATACAAATTCTATGTGTATAATTTTTTTTTTTTGTACATCTGATTATAAATTATATAAGAGAACATAACTCTCTTCTATTCTCAAATCTTCGCTTAAGGTTTAAATTTGATATCTTTAACTTAAAGTCTTAAACTTTTAACTATTAAACCACTTCATTAAGATTTTTATATATGTATATAATTTTACATAATATTATAACATAATATTATAGTTAAAAATATTAGTATAAAGTAAATCGTTTCAGAGTCAATATCTAGTGAACGTTAACCATGAGAGAGAGAGAAAGAAACAGTTGAGAGAGAAACAACCTGCACAACCCCAAAGGCCCCCCGTTTCGTCTTCTCCGACGGAATGGAAGCAACCTACACCCAAACCCTGTGAGTGTCAAGGTGAGAGAGCGCAACCTCAACCCCATCAATCCAGAACCGAATGCTATCATCCACCCAGGATATGACAGGACACCAAGAGGGACGCTCAGAAATCAACGAGGAACATCTGAGGGATATGGCAAAGGTGTTCTAGAGCAAGCTATGACCTTCTTCTTCTCTAATTTCCCTGATGACTGGAGGTCAGGTGAAATGTGGGAAGCTTTTATTAAATGTGGAAGGGTGATTGATGTATACGTTGCAAAGAAAAAGGACAAGTGGGGAAGGAGCTTTGGTTTCGTCCGATTCCTGGAGGTTAAGAATAGCAGAGACATGGAGCTTAAACTGAACCAGATCAAAGTGGGGCAGAGGACGATCCAAGCAAATGTGGCTAGATTCTCCAACGTGGAAGATCAGAAAAAACAGAAAAATCAGGCTGCTATCCAATCTGGTAAAAAGTCGATCACAGTATCTTACGCAGAAGCAGTAAAAAACGGCCCAAGAAAACATGAAGAATCAGATAGTAGAGAGCCAATGCAAGTCATGGGAATTAAGAAACAGTGGCGTAAGAGCAAAGCGAATCAAGAGCAATGGCAGGGTCTAGAGGTGATGGCAGAGGAAGAAGATTTGAGATGGCTTCAAGACTGCTTCGTCGGCACAGTGAAAAGCCCAGAGACTATCAGCACTCTTCAAGACAAATTTCTCATGGAGGGTTATTTTTCTGCCAAAGTAACTCCGATGGGAGGAAGATTAGTCTTGCTATCATCTGTTGATCATGAGGAGTTAAAAGATTTAGTTGACAATGGGAAGGATTGGTTGGCACAGTGGTTCTCCGATGTGAGACCGTGGAAGCCAACGGAAGTAGCTTCTGAAAGGTTTACTTGGCTAAGGTGCCAAGGTGTCCCTGTACACATTTGGAGAAGCAGTTTCTTTGAAACTGTGGCCCATTTATTCAGGAAATTCATATCATTAGACGATAGCACAATCAAAAAGAAGAGGTTGGATCTGGCAAAAATTCTTATATTGACCCCAGTCCAGGAAAACATTCAAAGGGTCTTAAGAGTCAAGGTGGGAAGGA